GCAGTGCGAAGCCGGAGGTGATTTGTTCCCTGTGTGTGTCACATCTCTGCCTGCGTTCGACGTGTCCTCTTTATCTCTGTTTTTTATTGGCATTGCATGTCACATTTATTGTTTGGAACAGAGCTTGTTGAATCTGTAAAGTGAGATTTTCACAACACTGGGAAACTTTCAGTTTTAATTTTTTCGGAGACTTTTTCTGCCCCATCCTGTCCCTTGTATCTTGGGACTCCAATTTGACATATTTTCCAATGTTTCATAGTGTCCTGTGGGACACTGAGTGTCTTCTTTGTTTAGGAATCAAAAGAATTGCTATGATGTATAGAATATATATGATATATAAAACATATGTGTTATATAGAGCTATGTATCACATCTATTATGTATCTCTATGAATATAAACAGAGCATCTATATGTTGTTACATCTAAGTTTTCTGAGCTCACTTATGATTTCTTAAATCTGCTGTTAAGTTCCTCAAGTGATTTAGAACAATTTTAGAATTGTACTTCCTGGTTCCGGAATTTCCGTGTGGTTCTTGTGAATCACTGAGATATTTCTGTAGAGATTCTCTCCAGTCTAGTCGCTCCTCATAAACATGTTTTACTCTAAGTGTCTGAACAAACTTGAAGCAGCTGCTTCAGTATCTTTGAGAATTGGGGCCTTGTCTCAGCTGATCTCCACTGACTGCTTTGTACTGAGAGACTATGTGTCTCCTTTTCTTTTTTCTCTTCATATTTAGTAACTTTTAAACGTCTACCTGGTGTTGTGGATGGAACTATTGGTTCTGAACCCCCCTCACAAAGGTGTCGGTTCATATGTCAGGAGGCAGTTAGCCTGACAGGACTCATGCTCCACAACCTGTGTGCCTGTGGGCGGCAGTAGCTGAAATGCCCTCAGTTCTTTGAGCCTCTGAGCTGGTTCTTTTTGCCCGGCCCTCTGGGGTTTCCCCTACACAAGAACAATCAGGGGATCATCCAAGGATTGGAGTAGTGTCTGCATGCAGATTCTGGGGCTCCCTCTCTGTGGCTTCCCCTTCTGAAATCCGCCCTTGGAACGCAGCCTTGTACCCCTCCGTCTGAGCCCTTCGGCCAGGATGGCTGCAGTCTGCCTGTGGTCCCGTTGCACCTGATGCCCAGGCTGCATCGGACCGACTTCCCAGGGACTCGGCTCTACACCCGCTGCTTGTGTTTGGGCTCCGGTGCCAACGTGTCGCTATGGGCAGTAGCTCGCCCAGAGCTCGTTGCTGTCACACAGGCTAGACTGGCCCAGGGCTCTGCCACTGCTCAATCGGAGCTGCTTTCTCCCATGTGCTCTCGTTTCCATATTCTTGTAACCACTGTGGCTCTGCGTATTTTTGAGTGTTTCATGGATGTTCGGACATCTTTTGGGAGTTAACTGTTCACTTCCATTGCCTGTTTCTTTAATGATGTGTTTGGATTTTCCAAGTGATCCACAGTTCTGTATACGTCCTGGGAATGCCTGCCTGTGTACGTGATGGTGGGACAGGCCATCCCTGCCAGGGCTTGGCTTCAGGGTGACTCCACAGGGAGATTTCCCTGGCCCCAAGATGGGGCTCTCCTGGCACCCGGCCTCTCAGCCCCTGACGCTNGCTGGCACAGGGGTGCTGATGTCCAAAGGGAAAGACCGTCGGGTCAGCAATGATGGAAGGTAGGAGGGAACGACATGTGGTCTGCTCACTGAGCCGCTGGAGAAGTCGGAGATGATGCCTGACCTCTGCTTGGGTGGCCATCGCAGTGATGGGCAGGCCTTGCTGGGGTGCAGGGGGCTGCTGGAGGGCTCAGTGGTCTCCACGGCCTCCAGGCCCTGGTGCTCCGGCCTCAGGGAGCTGATCCCACCTGGGCTGCTTCCCTAGGACCTGGCACCTTGGTGCAGAACAGTGTCCTTAGCAGGTACTGAGTGTATTCCTCACATTCTGTGGGGAGTGTCTTTGCACTCCTGCTGACCTCTGCCATCGGGTTCCTGACCCTTGGCTATTCCACTCCAGAAGGAAGGTCCTTACTGGCACGAATGCCAGGGGAATGTCTTGTGTTTTTATTTCTCAGACCACAAGCAACATGAGAGCAAATGTGGCTGCCGTCATGAGCCGTCACCCGAGGAGACAGAGAGGCCGTGGACAGAAACAGGACAGAAACAGAGCGGCCAGACAAACGGCCCTTCCTCACTGTCTGCATGCACTTGTGTGCATTTATTTGCAAGCACCTGGGGACACACACAAACTGAGGAAACACCGTAGAAAAAGGTGAGGCAGAGAAGAGAAACATGGGTGGTGGGTGGGGGCACGACAGTCAAAGAAAACATGGGGCTCCAGTGCCTCCTGCCATGTCCCCACCCCACCCTATGGCCAGAAGAGGGGTGGGGAGGCAACCACATCCTGAGAAACCCCCTGAGTCCCCCAGGTTCCCGAGGGAAGGGACTGAGTGGGCGGACCCCCATCCCGGCCACAGAGGGTGCCAACAGCGGGCCTTCCTGCTCAGGTCTCCCCAGGGTCAGAGGAAACGTGCGAAGCTCGATGCCCAGCCTGTAGTCGGGGTCAGTGCTGGGGCGGCCGCTGTCCTTGGTGGGGGTGGGAGGGGAGTCCAGCCCCAGCTGGTCCAGGAGTCCCTGAAGGAGGGACAGAGTCGGTGACTGGCTGAGGGAGTGAGGGCACAGACAGTGGCAGAGGCTGAGCCTGTTCAAGGGCAGAGCCCCCAGGCGGGGCATGGGAGACTGGTCACATGACATAGTCACAGCACCGTCATCAGGCATGTGTCACTCGGGGGCTTATGGCATAACCTGCTTCTCAGAATGTCCCCCTGCTCTCCCTACCAGGGAAGGTCGTCATGTTTTCTTCTTCAAGATTTTTCTGTGGCTCTCATGCCTTTGGATTCTAATCTCAGGTTAAATTTCTCCAAGGACCACACTGTTTTCTGAATGGGTCTCAGAACTCGCTGGCCTGGACTCCCCCTCCAGCTCACTGTGGGGCGTGTTGTCTCCACAGCCCCCTGAATCCACTCCCAGTGGAAGGGGCAGCGCTCACTCTGCGGACGGTGACAGTGCTTCCCGTGACCTCTGCAGTAATGGTCCTAAGGGAGCTCCACCAAGACTCTGCCACCTGCTCTCCTGACGCACACCCATGGTGGGCACCTCTTGGGCCTCCTCAGGGGCCACGCTGGGCCAGGCTGGCCAGGGAGCTGTGCCCTGATGTCTCCTGAACCTTCTTCTGTTTCCCAGCCCAGGGACAATAGCCCACCGGCCAGGGGGAACGTGCAGGGGCACAGGCTGAGTTTTGTGATTGCTTTACGATTGCTGGCAGTGGATGTGACCACGGTCAGGGCTGGGCGCCCAAGCTGTGCGATAGAAAGTGGGTGTCCCTTCGATGTAGTCCCAGGATGCACAAAACTGTGGGAACGTGACTCTCTCTGCATCTAGACGGGAGGAAATTGGCCCTGCAGATGTGAGGTGCCTGCCTCCGCTTGCCAATGCATGGTGAGGGCTCTCCCACCGGTGGTGCTGCATGGGCTTCGAGCCATGCTACTCCCCGTGGCCCCTGCCCTCGCAGCCCCTGCAGCAGGGAGGAGCAGGGGCCACCGCACGGGTCTGGCTTGGCCGTGCCACTTGATTGCTCTGAGCCTCAGAACCCTCCTCTGTAGTAATAGGGATAGTGGCACCTTGCTTTCTCGAGTCTCGCTGAATAAAAGAGAGAGTGAGGTGAAGAGCGTGGTGCAGAAGGCACTCAGCAAATGCTGGCAGCTGCTGCCATCTGCCCCACTCCCTCCCAAGGTGACAGACCCCGGGGAGAAGGACCCAGGCAGAGCCATCTCCTGGTGACACAGAGCTGGCATTTCATCCCAGAGTAATGGATTTGCTCAAGCTGTCCAACTTCCCGCATTTTACCGTGAGGCTCCTGTGCTGCACAGTGGGCATCGTTCTGGGGTCTGCGTGGGAAGTCTGTCCCTCTAACGGGCACGCTAAGCCCACGCAGTACTTTGAGGACAGACACGCTTGGTCTCAGTCCTGTCTCACCGTCTCGTGTAAGGGCATCTGAAGGAAGCTTTCCACAGGTCGCCTCTCTTGGCTGTTTTGTGGGTGTTGGGCTAACTGTGTTCCTCACAACTACGTCCGTTCTCGCCGTGTGTGTGCATGGGAAGCTCGCGGTCTCCCTGCCTCCGCTTCCACCCAGGCCTCCCATCCTGCACTGCCGCCCGAGCCGTCTGCTCTGCTTGGGCCTCTGTTGCTGGGCTTGGCCACTGATGCCAGCGGTCAGGAGTGCGGCAGCCTCCCGGCTTCTCCGGGCCCTGCCAGGGCCTGAGGGTGAGTCAGGGCAGACGCCCTCTCCCTCTGCTCCGTCTCCATGGTGGTCTGGCCCCAGCCATACCGGGAACTACGTGGGATGTGTGCCCCTGTCCTTGGGTGCCCGCTTCTGTGGTGTCATTTGGTGGCTGACATCTTTTCACCATGTGGGGGTCATGGAAACCTGTTCTTGGGTTCTTGACTGTTCAAAGTGTTCTCCAGTCACCGTCATTTATGTACTTATTTTAAAAACAAAACACTCTATTTGAAATTGAGATATAATTGGCATGTAACAGTGTACGTTTAAGGTGTAGGGTCATGGGTGTGCTGCATCTATCTGTTATGATAAGATTGCCGTCACAGCATTTGCTGGCACCTCTATCCTGTCTCACAGTCACTTTTTCTTTTTTGTTCTGGGAATAGTTAAGATCTGGTGTCAGCTCGTCGGAAGTTCATGAACCAGCGCTGCTCGCTGATTGCTCCTCAGGCGGGTACACCTCCCGGGTGTATATTACCCACTGGTTCAAGGTTATACCTTAAAAGGACATCTCCCTAATTCTACCTGGAAATGAGCATTCTATTTTTAACAAGTTTGGCTTCTGCAGATCCCTCACATAAGGGAGGCCGTATGGGGTTTGTCTTCTCTAACTTGTCTTGCTTAGCCTCACGCCCTCTACGTTCATCTGCATTCTCTCCAATGGCACTAAGCCCTTGTCCCTCATGGCCAATCTATCCCACTGCACACACACACACACACACACACTCTCTCTCTCTCACACCCACCCTAGTTCTTTATTTATGCGAGACGGCACACGGCTGCCTCCAGGTTTCAGCAGCTTTTAGTGAAGGACAGGCTGGTGGGGAAAAGACTGCCAGGTGCCCCCATCTGCTCCCAGCCTGAGTCGAGGTGCTGTCCCTTATCCACTGGTGCTGAATGTGGCCGGTTAGAGATCTAAGACCACCTGTTGTCCCCCTTATCCATGACTTGGCATTTTGAATGCTGCTCAAATCAATTCTTTCCAGAAGGGTCTACCAGAAGTAAGAGCATAGCAAAAACATTTTGAAGTGGAATCGAAACACTCCATCCTGAAATAAGATATGCTAGACACACCGTGATAGGGACACTGCGAGCCTGAGAAAGTCCACCTGCTGTGGGGACTCCTGGACACGTGCCGTAAGCGGGCCGGACTCCCCCCTCTTCCACGGATGCCACGGCTGTGTGTTCCCTCTCCTCTGCCTGTCTCCTTTGTCTATCTCTGCTCCTTAACTCCGTACAGTTTTACTCTGCTCCACATTCATCTCACTCTGTCCCCATGTCCCCATCTGTTGTCTGTGGGGTCTTTCAACTTGTCTTTGTGAAGGTTTTAATAAAAAGTCCTTCTGTCACTGTGGCTGTACTTCCTCCCGGGTGGTGTCTGCCAGATGTCAGTTTGTCCTTTATGTACATACTGCATTCTGTGGGTGATACCAGTTTCCCTGGGCTTGCTGAAAGAGGAAGTCCCAAGTCACAAAAAAATTCTGTTTTGATTTTGCACAGATCCTGGAAGGTGAGGGCAGTGCTGTGTGGAGGTGTGTCTGGAAGGCAGAGCCTGAGATGCGGGCGGGAGCTGGACGTGTGCACTGCAACCCGCTGTCCCCGGGACCCCGCCGGTGCTCTCTCCTTCCTGGGCACGGCTCTGCACCCTGGGGTGGCCTGTGCAGCTGCTCATCACTGAGGTGGTTTGCATCCAGGGGCTGCAGGTATGAGCACCCCATCTGGGCCAGCCCCCATGCCCTGTCATATCTACATACATTTAATATGTGTAATATAGAATATTGAAAATGAAAGTATATTTTCCGACAGCTAAACACTAGTATGTTTCCTCTCTCTTTATATACATTTCCTCAATGAGGATGGACTCAAGGGGCCGTCCCCCAAGATCACGCATGTGGAAGATATATTTAGTGAGCATAAAATTTTTGGATTATATTTTCTTTCCAGTGGGTTATATAGGCATTGATAAGTTTTTTTTGAGAAGTCTGGGCAGATGGTCCCCCTCTTGTAAATGACCTGCTCTCCTTGGTCACCCAGAGTGTTCTGCGGTCCAGTAACTGCGACCATAAGGGCCTGACTGCTCCCGGGCGTTCTACTGCCTCGGAACGTTGGGAAATGTCTGCAGTTGTGTTTTGAGCCACATGTGCGAAGCCTGGTGCTGGACCAGAGGGGTGAGGCCGTGCAGGAGGGAAGGCAGGAGGGGCTCAGAGACCCTGAGCTGGCCCGGAGCTTTTCTGCTTCCTGTGTGTGGGCAGTGGTGTGGGGGAGTCTCCACACAGCGCCAGGCACACCACGGGAGAGCAGGGTGCCCGGGGGGCTTGGCTGTCCTTCAGGCCCACTGCTCCCCCTGTTACCAGCACTGGCCCTCTGGGACCCAGGTTGGAGGCACCTTTGCCCAGGAGAGGAGCCCTGTGAGTGCCACCTTGAGACCTCACCACTTGTGTGGCACCAGGTCCTCTAGAGACAGGCCCGGGCTGATGGGTGTGTGGGTGGGTGTGTGCCAGTTGGCAGGCGCCACAGTGATTCAGTGCGGCTCAGAATCCACCAGCTGCATCCGTGACCTGGAGGCCTCTGGGGGTGGGCTGCCGGGCCTGGGTCCTGCTGGGTAGGGCTGGACCAGAAGCTGTGGGCTTCTGTGTCTCAGCCTGCCTGTGCCTGCATGGCTCTGGGCAGGTTTTACAACCGGCCTGAGTCACTGTGATCCCAGTATTTGTACCCACGGTGCATCAGGCTGGTACGAATTCTGTCAAGGGCCCCGGGCAGGGAAGCTGCTGGGTGTCCTGCCTGGCTGTGTTTCCAGAAGGCCATCTCCTGGCTCAGAGCCCCTTGTCAGGCTTCACTGTCTCCCTGAGGATACGGGCAAGGCCATGGGGTCATGTGCTTGTTGGGCAGGTTTGCACAGTGGCTCAGGTCCAGGGTCCCCTCTAGGGGTCCCACTTGGGGGTGGGTCTTTCTGGCCTGATGAGTGTCACTGTGGGATCAGCTGCCATCTACCACTGTGGTTCAAGCAGGACCAGAAACCTCCTGGCCTGCTGAGGGCTCAGTACCCCTGTCCGATGGAAGGGCGGGGGTCCCCTGTACTGGTCGCCTCTCCTGAGCACCCAGTGCCTGTGGGTTCTGAGGGTGCTGGGAGCTGGTCTGGTGTCCGGATGGGCCCCCTGGGTGGGTGGGCTCTGAGGCAGAGGCCAGCTGCCCCCAGCCCTCCTTGTGGGCAGAGCAGGTCCCTCCTCCCAGGTGCAGAGCACGGCTGTCCTGCATCTGAGATGCAGCCTGTGCCCTGCTGCCCAGCCTGGCCAGTGTCCGCGATGTGTTTTGTCCATCCTGTCTGCAGGGGCTGCTGCAGAGGCCGCAGGAAGGGATCCTTCAGGGCAGGGGCAGAGGGTTCACAGAGGGGCTTTGGGGTCCTTCTGAGCCACCGTGTGGGTTGTTCTGCTGTGAGGGACTCCTGTGCAGAATGTCCTCTCTGAGGGGAGGGGTGGGGATGGGGCACACCCTAGGGCCCCATGGACACACACCCCGCTGAGGAGCTTGGAGATGGGACACACCCCGGGGCCCGGGGGAGGGTGGGCCGGGCGGGCAGCCGAGGCCCTGATCTGTGGGGAGCTGCCAGTCTCCTGTGCGGTCGCCACTGGAAACGCTGCAGCAGGTTCCCCATGATGGAGCCCCCTGCCCTCCCCACCCAAGGGCCTCTGGCTCATCTCAGGGTCCTGGGAGAGCATAGGGGCGCTGGGGGGAAGCTCTCTGTGGGGGCCCGGCCTACGGCTGAGGCTGAGCCCCACTCTAGCTGGACAACGCCCTAAAGATGGCGCCTGCTTCCTAGACACCACCCTTCCTGGCCCTACAGCTCAGCGCATAAGGAAGTCTCCATGACTGGCTTGTCCCCATTTCTGTGCTCGTGCTCATAGCATGCTTTTCACATGCTTCCAATAAGACTGAACCTGGCGCGTGACCAGTCAGCTGATTGGTTGGGATACGCTATATAAGCTGCTGCCCTGGAGGAAGTGGGGGTGGTGGTTGTTTCTGCTTTTGCCTTTTGCTAGATGGATGCTCGGACGCCCATAATAAAGATTCCTAACGAACCAGGCCTTCGGTGATCGTTCTCCTGCCGTCGCCCTAGGTGGCGGGACGGGATACTCTCAGCCTGCAGGGGCCCCGCCTGGCTCTCTGGGCAGAGCCACCCTGAGGTCCCCAGGATGTCTGGGAGGGTGGCGTGTGGGGACGGCGCCCAGCCCTGGTGGGCGGCTGGTTTTGAGCATCAGCAGTGTCACTGTGGTCCAGCTGTACCCGTACCCACAGTGACAGAGGCCTGGACAATATGGCCTGTCCCCAAGGGGGAGGACACGCCCCACAGCTGGCGCCCTGTCCCAGTCGGGGCCTTGGAAGAAGAGGCTGAGGCAGGTGCTTCCCTCGGAATCGCAGGGCTTGGGGCTGCCAACTGGGTACCCAGCCGTCTCTCTGCCTGGCTGGGTGGGCCTGCTCTGTCCCTCCATTTCTCCTCAGTAGAGGGGGTGCTGATGGAGCCCCTGGGTGTGTTACTGACAGAAGGCTGAAGGCTTCACTTTCCTGAGGCCAGTGGAGTCCAGACAGGGGCTTCTGTGCTCATGGTCTCTGTGGACACGGTGCAGCCCCATGGACTGTCGGGGCTGAGCCACACCCTGAGTGTGGTCCCTGGATGATGAATCCTGGCTCTGTGGCTTTGGGCCTGTGGTTCCTCCACCAACCCCTAGCGCTACTCCCTTGGTGCACTGTTCCCCGACACTGACCCCTGCACTGCCCCCTCAGCACTGCCCCATCAGCTCTGCCCCCTGCACTGACCCCACCACTGCCCATTCAGCATTGCCACCCCAGTACTGCCCTACCAGCACTGTCCCCCTACTCTGCACTCCAGCACTGCCCCCCACAACTGCCCCCATCACTGCCACCAAGCACTGCCCCCCTGCAGTGCTTTTGTACTTGTGATTTTGTACTTGTATTTTGGAATGACTCAGTTCTGGGTCCCCGTCCAGGAGACCTCCAGCTTGGGGGCCTGCCTCCAGCCTCGCTGCCACAGATTCCAGGGGTGGGTGCCACCGTGGGTTCAGAGGCGGAACCCGGGCATGCAGGTGGTGCGAGGGCTCTGCGGAGTCAGCCCTGTTACTGCGATGGGCGGTCTCACTGTGGTCATAGTCACTGTAGTCATCTACACACCGTCTGACTCCCCGTGACAGTAACCAGGCCTGGTGCCAGGAGGTGGGACCAGTGGGAGGGGCCTCCTGGGGGCAGGGAGGGCCTGAGCCAACAGGGCCACAGAACAGGCTGGGAGCTGCCCTGGGACTCAGAAGTGTGCCCAGTTTCTTGGGCAGGTGATAACAGGGTGGGCTGTGTAGGTGGGCACAAAGCGGCCTGTCCGCTCTGCCCCTGAGCTGGCTCCTGTCTCGGTGTCTGATCCTGCCACGACCACTGTTCCCCTTGCACATGGTGCCACGGAGAGACCCAGGAGTGGTTTTTCATCGGAGATCTCCTTTCCGCCCAGGCCCCCACTTTCCCGCCGCCTGGGGGCTCCCACACTTGCTCTGTGCTGGGCCCTCTCCTGGGGCTGGGCTGTGTCCACGTGTGCACGAGTGCCGTCCTCTTCCTGGCAGTTCCGGGTGGACGCCCACACCCGGGGGACCTGCCTCCCTAAAATCCTCATCCTTCGTGCTTATGTTTCAACGCTGTCCGAGCTGTAGGTGGATCTCAGACTCTAACAGCCGCGCGAACCCAGCTGGCGCTGTGGTTGGGAGTTCCCGTCGTCCTCCTCGGTCCAGGGGACAGACCCCGGCGCCCCCGCCCTTGACTCGGGCCCCTCTCCGTGTGTTCAGATTGTCTGACGTCCTTCAGTGGGTTTGACCTTTCCCACAAGGTCCCTTACGTCGTTGTGAGGTGGGCCTTGTTTGTCTTGCATTTTCCAACCAGGCTTTGGCCGGCCCGCAGGAGCGGGACCGCTGCGGTCAGCTGGTCTTGCATCTGGACGTCCTGCTGATTTTCCCGTTAGTTCTAACAGCTTGTCCGCAGGTTCTGGCGGGCCTTCCTTGTAAGCGGTCATATCATTTGCGAATAATGACATTTTTGGATCTTCCCTTTCAATCTTAAGAGCTATTTTTCCCTTGTCATGTAGCG